TGAGTCGCTGACACTGGAATCTGCCCTCTTAGCTTTGCGGCCTCACAGGTGACACCCCTCTATTCAGTGTGGACCACGGTCCCAGTCAGTGCCCCGGCTGCCCGGTTGGACTGGTCAGCCTCGATGGCCCTGGCGAAGAGCTGAATTGTTTGGTAATAATCAGCTGTGCAAAACGACCGATGTCTTGTCCATCTGATATTTACTAATCATATACTATGAGCTTTTTAAAACACCTGCTGTGGTTGCTGTCTAATTCATCAGATACAAACAAGCAATGGTCAGGCTGTTGTGGAAGGTGTGTGAGCCGGAGGAGCTCGCGGAAAGACAGGCAGAAAGTGAACCAAGTAAAGGAGCTGGTTGGGAGTGATACGTAGTTTCTAGTACACGTAGTGCCATTTTTTATTAGAAAAGGGTAAGGAAAACTGTTTTGAAAACAGAAATTACACCCTTTCTTAAATGTTTTACTTGGAGCATTTCTAATCATAAGCTTTAAAATACAAGGAAAACGTACTGTATTTGGTAACTGATAATGTATACTTTTTATATTACCTCGTATCTTAAATCATTTTATATGTTATGTAATCTTCCCATTATTTGCACATCTCCAGAGATAGATGTTAAATATTGGGACATCTGTCTTGTGTCTGAAGACACGCGTCTAAAAGCAGCCATGGGGTGAGTGACTTAGTGCCCTGCCCGGGTGAGGGGACACCCTGCCCCAGGTGCTATTATTGCATAAATGTCACCAGTCACTCAGCACATTCGAAGTACAAGGCTTAGTGAAGTTCCTGAGAAAACCCGAGGAAACTTAAGTTACTTGAGTTCCTTCCCTTCGGGATGTAAGGATTTCGTTGGGAAAGTAAGACATATTTGCAATTATCTTACCATCAAAGGCAGCGTGGGCAGACTCCGATGTCTACCAGTCCCGCCTCTCTTCTTTGATTCCTTCGCGAGTATTTACTGTGTGTCAGCTCTTAGGTGGTCCGTAGGGGGCTGAAAAGTGAATTAGATGTGCGCCTGGCCCCTGGAGAATCTAACAGGGGACATGAGACCTGTACGATTGGTTGTGACACAGAAGCAAGTGAAGGAACCATGGAAGAAGGAACAGATAAAATAAGACTCGGAGAAGAGAGAGCTGGCTTCTCCTTGAGGAGAACAGAAGGACTCTCATCTTTCTTAGAACTTAACATACGTAGGATTAGGGCGTGGAAGGATGGGGGGAGGGGGGAATGTCTCTCCAGTTGGAAGTGATGAAGCATCAGTGGAAACGCAAGGGGGATGTAAAGGGGACGGACAGCAAGCGTGACCAGAACAAAAACACATGAAAGGGATTCAGAGGGAAACGTTCGAAAAAATATTTTTGGGCTATCTTTGAATAAGTATAGCTTTCACCTGGAGAGTTCATTGTATGTTTTACAGTCACCAAAAGGCCATTTGGAGTTTTCCAGGAGTAAAATGACAGGTTGAGAGCTGTTTCCAGAACCTGGGGACTCTGGGAAGTCTACTTGTCCCGTCCGTATCTCAGAGTCCCTATAATCCAAAGCTTTTTCTCGAGTCAATGCAAAGCCTGTATCGCTGGACTCGCTTGAGGCAGAGGCCGCCGTGGACGTGCGTGGTGGTGCCCTGAAGTGGCCCGGCCCGCCCGTGTTAGATTCTCGGGGTCTGTGCCCACACCCGGACCCTGGTTTGTCTGTGTGAACTCCGGAGCTTGGCCGTAACACGTGCCCCGGATACTCGGTCGTTCTTCCTATGAGAACTTAAAGGGCAGTTTCCTCTCTGTCCTCAGTACCAGTGACACTCACACTTCTACATTTTTATCTTGAAAACACTCCAAATCATGTACCTCGTCTTGGTTTCCTCTTTGTTTTGGCAGCTAGATGATTTAGAACCAGATTGGTAGCCTGCTTTGGAAATATCTAGAATCCTACAGCAGGCGTTTCGTCCACTAACCTCACATTGGGCTTCATCTCATCTCTCCCGCTGTCAGGTTTTTGTTCTTCTGCCTTCCTTTCTGGCGACGCCTAATTTCATTTTATCTTGTTATACTTTATAAACTTAACTCTATCTTGAGTAAGTTGTTATAAACACACGCCCCACGCACTGTCATACCCTGTAAGTCGGCATCGCTAGAGCTGGCCTTGACCTCCAGCCGAGTCCTGGGCCTTCACCTCCGCCTGCAGTCGCTGCCGAGTTTCAGTTTCGGGCCCTTCAGCTCGTCTGCTCAGACTCCGCACGTGCTCCGTTCTGTCAAGTCGTGGACGGGCCTAAGCTTCGACTCTCTGCGTCTGTTTTGCTGGTAGAGCTCCTGGTTCTGGAGTCCAACCATCTGAGGTCCCCGCAGACAGAACACACTGCACCGCAGTTACCTGCAGGGACAACCGGGAAGAGCACGCACCTGGAAGGCACGGAGCCTCCCTCGTACCCCGTCCGCTCCCCCCAATACCTGCGGAGTGGAGGAGTGAACCTAGAGCAAGCCGCCGTGGCCCTCGTTATTTTTGAAGCCTTCAATGGAAGCCTTTCCCCACTGTTTCTATTCTATGCATTTAAGATTTAGAATCTTACATGCAACACATTGACATACCTGATGGTAATATATCTTAAAATCATTTTATTTTCAATAGCCATCCGACACCCGTGAGGCTCTCCCACTCACACAGTGCTCTCCCCGTCGTCGACAGCACGCTCTGGGAACGCAGAGGCTCGGCCAGTGTTGGTCAGGTGGCAGGAGTGAACGAATGAATGCGTGTGTCTCACGGAACCCTCGCACCGCACAAATCGTTAGATGGGGCCTTAGTACTTCCAGGTTACAGATGAGAAAGCTGAGGTTGCCCGTCATGTTGCTGACAGAATTAGACATGCCACCGTGATTTCTACCTCACTGCTCTCTTCTCTGCTTAGTATAATATCCAATATATAATTTGTACTGCACGCAGAATACATAGAATTAATCACCCATTACTAATTTTATATAGGATAAACTATATATTCTATAGATGATATGTGGAATAACTTACATATCTTATATATTCTATATATGAGACATGTAATAAGTTATCGATTATATAACACCACTCTTTTTTTGAGCCATGATTAAAAACACGGAGTCATCTGACCCCACGTTCTTGTTTTTAGCCACAGTCTTAGTACTCTTCCCTTTGAAATGATTCTGTTTCTATTCCATTGACGCCAACCTCGTCTAGGTCCTGGTGACTGTAGCTTATTGTAGCATCTGATTAGCAGCTTCTCGAAACGTTCCTAAAAGACACCCATAGAGATTCTAATCATCCGCACTGGCACTTGGGAAGGCAAAGCTAATTAATACTGTAGGAACCTGGATCATAAATCTTCTACAAATTGTAAACTGTTAGTTTCCTTCTTTCCAGCACCACTAAAACTATGTGCTCCTTGAACCTTGCCATCCCCTCAAAGGCAAAGCTGAGGTTAGGACACGTAATTTGTCATGAGCATCAAAGCAATGGACTGAGCAAGGTTTCTCTGGTTTCTAGTATGGGGCTCTTCAAGATGAGAGACCGGGTAAGGAAGCAGCTCTTCTGTAGGTGGTACCGCTGCCCCTCGTTTCAAGACTAAGGAATGATTACTTGTTAAGTGATATGATACGGGTTATTAGAGACCGCTGGGAGCATGCAGTAATTGCAGACACTAGATGCTACAGGAGGAGTTATTTTAATTCTTGAACCCTGTAAAGCCATAATATATATTCAAATTATAATGTATCGTGTATGCATTTCATACAACCAGAATTACAATGTTGGTCTGTAATATTTGGCTTAATCACTGCTGGAGTTCACGTTGTAGATAAAAGATAATCACTGTGTTTCCTGTTCTCCGTTAATAAGTGCATTTATATTAATAGCATGATTTAACACATCGCTTTCAAATTATAGTGCCCTTTGAACTGCATTTAGTAAAAAGTTAACATCTTTTGTGTGCGGAACTGTAATAAATTTGGCATTAAATTAAGGAGTCATCTGTCTGTTCCCTAAAGTGTAATATTTGTGAATGCTAGCACTTTCAAAGCTAGATAATATGATTGAAAAGTAGGTCTCAGAATTTGTGAATTTTAACTTAACGACTTGTTAGCTTTCGGTAATTCTTCCCTGGTTACAGTCTAGCCTTGTGTTTATATTTCGAAGTTGCCAGATCCTCTATGACCAAAATTCTGGTTTAGAACAAAATTTTTCGTGCGCCTGACACAGCAGCCCGCGTCACTCTGGTCACCTCTGACTTGCTCCGGAATGGAGTTCTACTGCAGGCTGTGAAATTGGAAAATCTGTTCTGTGTGTGTTCTAATGGGTGTAACGGTCATTAAGTCTCCGAGTCTTCTGACGTAGTAATCAGATGTGATTCAGTCTGTTAAATATCCATGAAACAACATCTGCTTCGCAGAGTGACCTTCTGCTGAAGAATACTTAGCGTCTATTAGTGGATCACGGTGCAGATCTGCCGTATTTGAAATGCGCGCAACCAGAAGAGTCGACTGCTGTTTAGCAACTAGCTTGTAATAATTTATTGCGGTTAAATAAAGCTTTAAAAAAAACTCCATTAAATAATTATAGGGATTATATGCATTTCGAAAACCTTTGTGTTCTACTGAAATTACCCATTTAATTTCAGGGCTGGTTTGTTTAAAAAAAAGCTGGGATCTAAAGGCACATTAGGGGAGCTGTCAGATGCTGTTTTCTGTAGGTGTTAATACAACCAGATGAAAAAAAAAAATCCGAAACAAATTAAAACCAAAAGCAGCTTTACCATCTGTTGTATATTAATTAGAACTTTGTGTATCAAGGGTAAACTTGCTCTTAGAGAATGTCACCAAACACCCGCTTAATAGAATAATATGCAAATGTATTAGGTGATGGATGCCTGTGCGGTTTCTCATGCTAATTCAGGTACAGCAGATCGCCGAGAAATGGGCAGCATGCACAGGTACGGGTGTTCACACACACGCATATGTAATGCGCTTTCTTCTTTATTTTCAGAGCAACCTGCCAACAGCCAAGGCCAGCCCACCCTGCAGCCCTTGCCACCTCCCCATAAGCAGCACTCCGCTCAGCACCACCCATCCATCACCTCTCTCAACAGAAACTCCCTGACGAATAGGAGGAACCAGAGTCCGGCCCCGCCGGCTGCTTTGCCCGCCGAGCTGCAAACCACACCCGAGTCCGTCCAGCTGCAGGGCAGCTGGGTCCTTGGCAGTAATGCACCACTGGAGAGCAGGTAACTCCTCCCCGGGAGGCCCCAGAGCGCCCGACGACCAGGGCCCCACGGCGGATGCGCATTCGGCCGTAGTCAACAACATTTTAAGATAAACACATCCAACTCTAACTAAGAGAAATGTATCAAACCTCTATCCTCTAGTTTGTGTTTTCTAGGAACAGGTCAAGGTTATTGGTCAATGTTTTGATTGCTGGGTCAATGAAATTGTCCTTACTGTTGTCTCTATCCCCTTGTGTACAAATCAGCAAACACGTTTAGAAGAGAATACAGGTATAAAATGTGATTCTCGGTCCCACGGCTCTGTGAACACAGTTAGCGTCTACTTGGTCCCAGACACCCTACTTTTCAAAGACTGGACTGTGTCCATCACATCACAGATTCAGAGTGGACTCCCACATATGATACTTCAGCACGAGTCAGGCGACTGCTCACTAAGGGTGTTTTAGTTTCTCGCAGAATGGGGGGAAGGGGACCCGCTCGCTCAAGCTTCTCCCGTCGTTCTTCCCTGAAACATTCCAGCCACTCTTCAACAGTCCGTTAGCGAATTCTTCCCAAGAATGAATGGAAATCTCCCATTCTGAAACTTCCATCCTCTGGTTGGGATCTTGCAACCAGTGGTCCTTAACTGTCCAAAACAATCCCCCATTTCTGTACGATGGCTGACCCCCCGGAGGCTCCGCCCGCGGCCCGCTCCCGTCTGCAGTCCTGCTGGGGTTTCCGCGCACTTCCTCCGCCGGACTTCCCGCACAGGTCAGCCCGCACATGGTCGCCTGTTACTGCCACAGTACGGATCAGTAAGCGGGGTGTCGCGCTCATCCACTCCAGTGTGAAATATCTCCAGGTACGAACCTCGTTCCCTTCTGCCTTCGGACAGAACCTCAACAGTTATGTTCCCGTTGCATCGTACTGTAGGCAGAGTGCGGGGTCTACCTCACTGCTCTCTCATTGGCAGCTTTGCAGCCACGTGCCCTTGACACTCCCATCAGTACTCCTTTCTGTCCTGCCCTGAGCTTCTGTTAGACTCACAGGGAGCGGATCCTCGCCACGTAAATGCCGGAAAGAGAGGACTCTGGACATCCTGGGAGAGTGTCCCCTAAAATGTCGTCCCCCCAGAGCACCCCTCACCGCCACTGGCATCAGCTTTTAAATTAGCTTCTGGAGGAAGAAACGGTCTCACAACGCGTACATTTCTCTTTCCTTTTGCCGTGAAGTGCATGATCTAAACCAGTTTGGCCCTGAGGATGCGCTGGCAGGAGGTTCTCGTAGTTGTCAACAACAAAGATCCTGCTGTCTTTTCTTTCCCTCTTGACCTAAGAACAAGGTTGCAAAATGCTCTTGTCTTTTTATCTGTAGTGCCGGCCAAGAGTCGTTGAGGTTTATTGTGCATGTTGTGTTATTGAACACTCTTCCGGGAGAAATTGGAAAGTGCAGGAAAAATAGGCAGGCAGCAAATCTCTTCACTTAAGATGGAGTCATGTACACTGACTCTTTTCCCCGCTAGGGTTATTAACGCAGAGCCAAATTTACCCACCTTAATTAATTAGCACACACTGCACAACTCATCAGCACCGATTCACCACTGTCATTCGGAAAAAATTTATTAAGAAAGAAGTCATTTTGCAGTTGAGTCATCCAGTTGAATGGGGGATAATTGCATTGCGGTTGACAATAATGGTTTTGACAAACGTTTATGAGATATGTCAAGTTAAGTCATCAGAAGCGTGTTTCATTTTAGGGATGTTCTGGGGAGCGCGAAAGGCTCCCCAATGGGAGTGTCCACGGGAGTGTCCACGGGAGAGACACTCTCCCTTGAAGCCACATCTGGTCGTGAAGAGATCTGGAGTCGTTCTGGAGGAAGACAAGCTGTGTTCTTGTTCTCCCGCACATCGTGCTAGCGAATGTTGGCTGGTGAAAGGTTAAGCGGCTGTTTAGAGGACAGCCCATGGCAGCTGTATATATACGAAGTTGCAGCCGATTTCTCTGTATTCAGAAATCACTCGGGGGCGGTATCAAAGCAACACCGGGTGAAATCCCCTTTCAAAGCAGTACTGGTAGTGAGCCGTCACACACTGCGTTTTGTAGTTTTATGAAGTGGCACAGGTAGAAAATCTGCCAGACAATATTATCTCATATACGCGTAAAGAAGAATACATCTAAAGCTTATATAGCATGCGAAAAATGCTCGTGTGTAGCATGGTTTTATTTTCTCACGCTCAGTGTCCACGTCCTACGCTATTGCCACTCGAGAAACGTAGCATTTCACCTCGCAGGCGAGGAAGGTCGTCGCCCTCGGCAGCAACCTGCACGCACGCAGCGCGCCGTCCTGGCAGCGTGGCTGTGGTTCCTCTGATGGTCTCCCCGGGCGGGGCCTGGAGGTGCAGCCCCGTCATCTTCATCCCTGATCTCCCCTTTTTCCGTTGGGCTCCCCCACTGAGCACGCTTCTCGGGCCCCATCTCAGCTACGTTAACAACTTTATCTAGACCTGCGTCTCTGCCTTGAACAAGCTTTTAATCTACTGTGTAGTTTCATCTTTGGCTGTTTGTTTTTTTCCATATACTCATTTTACCGATACTCACTTTTCTGGAACTGCGCTTGAAAGGATCTAAGTCATCACGTCTGGAATTCGGTGCGTGCAGCTAAGGATCTCTCTGGCTTCTCTTTGTCTCCTCCCCTTGCCTCCTGCCAGCGTATTGATAGCGGTTGGTTACAAGCTGACATACAATCATCCAGGGAAATCTCAGTCATGTGTAGAATTTCAGTTTCTTAGAGGCTGTAGCGAAGACATAAATATTTCCTGCCTTGTCCTGTCTGTTTTAGTCTCGCTTTCATTTTGATTTGGTAAAAGGCAGCTTTTTCACCAGCCGTTTCTCGCTTCCGTCAAAGTGTGGATTTCCTTTCTGTGACGAATTGAACATTGGCCGCTGCTGGAGACAGATGCTGTTCCTGTGGACGGAACACTTCTGCTCCGCAGAGAGAGTGGCTGTGGTCTGGAATCTCCGGGGAGGTGAGGTCGGGTCCGGGTCTCCCGGAGTCCCGTGAAGATCCACAGGCACGTTTGCAAGTCAGTTCATCAGCATGTCATTACCTCGTCATCGCCTATGAGTAAACATCCGAGCCTCAATGCACCAACGCTGGCTTGGAATGTGCCTTGAAGGTCCTCTTCTCGGAGCTCACTGTTTCTCATATTTTCTATAATTCACTGTCAGGCCATTTGATCGCCTATGGCTTCTCCTCTGTTTATTCTGTACTCCAGTTGCTTCGGTGCATGATAACAGCCGCGACCAGACTCGGGAGCAGCTGAGGAAGAGCTCAGACCTGCCCCGGGTAGCACAGCTCTTAAAGGTGCAGTACAGGGACTCTCGTGGAGAAGCCCTGACCTTCGCCAGTCGTGAAGCTAATTGCCCGCAAGGTCCTCCTTTATATATGTGAATTAAGTAGCCTAGCAGTTCCCTGTGAGCTGTTAACAAAATGGTTCATTTGTAACCATTTAATAAAACATTTATTCAACTCTTGTTTTATTATGAAGTGTACTTTGGCATTGATAGTTCATTAGTTATGTTCCCATAGCGTTTTACCTTGTAGTTCAAGTAATGCTTTGCTAATTATTAATGTATGAAATTGCATATTAAATCACCTTTTTATTATTGCATGTTTAATTTAAACATCAAGATGTCCTGGGCCGCTTTAATGTGAAATCAATGGCTACATCTTTAAAAACATAAAGTACCTAGCCAGCAGTGTAATTTACTAAGCTGAAATTCCCTTTTTTCTCCGACTTTCATCTTTGCTCTCGGTGGTTCTAGGGAGAGTCCTGTGGGCACCAGGCCTGCCAGCCTCGCCCATTAGAAGTCCAGGCAGCAGCCTCCCTGCTGCAGCCGTGCCGGACCCGGGGGATGTTTTCCCCATAGAAACATTGCACCTCCACCTGCGGGTGATGACCAGCTGCCTTTAGCAAGGTACTGTGTAGTGAGATTCTCCATTGTTGAAGGTATTACGTAACATATCCCCAGAGAGGTAACGCAGTGACTTAAGTTGACTGCGTGATGTCTTATCCTTTTGTTCAAGTGTGGGGAGAGAGACCCCAGGGTACCTAGAAGGAAAGGGAATATCACGGAATATGGAAAGGAGATGCAAAAATGAAGAGACTAAGGTTCCTAAATACAAACTGCAAAATTTGACCTGGGCCTAGGCTAAGAAATTCTTAACTAATATTTAAAAGTCTCACCATCTCCATTTGTTCAAAAGAAATAACAACAAAAAAAAACCCTGTAAACTCATCTGAAATTACATACTAAAAATAGGAGAAGTCCGTTGGATTCTAGATCTTTTCAAATATTTCATCTTTAGTGCTTCCGATAGTTCTTAAAAGGCCTATAAAGAGATGTGTGTGTGTCTACAAGAGGTGTACCTCTTGCAGGTAAAGGGAAAGAAAGAGGAAGAGCGAGCTATGGTGTATAATAGTTTGTAGGAGGTGTTTATGTTTAAGCCTCGTTTCAATGTGTGGCTTAAAAACCTTGTCTCAGCCCTGGCTGGCGTAGCTCAGTGGATTGAGCGCGGGCTGCGAACCAAAGTGTCGCAGGTTCGATTCCCAGTCAGGGCACATGCCTGGGTTGCAGGCCATGACCCCAGCAACCACACATTGATGTTTCTCTCTCTCTCTTTCTCCCTCCCTTCCCTCTCTAAAAATAAATAAATACAATCTTAAAATAAATAAATACAATCTTTATAAAAAAAAAAACCTTGTCTCAGTGAGAGGAGGAAGCTATTGGAGCCCAAACGCAGTGCCTGCGGGTGATGGGGAGCATACAGTTCCTCACCAAACGGGACAATTGGCGAGTGAAAGGAGAATCAGAACAATTGCCCTGGAACAGCAGGAGCAAACTGAGGCCGTCCTGGGCAAAGAGGGGATGTGTGGTTTCCCTGCTAAATTTCAGTCCCAATGGTAAAGGGGCTTCCAAGCCCCGGATGCCTTGTACCGAAGGGACAGAATGAGACAGAG